CCCCGCCCCGCCCCGCCCTCGGAGCGCTCGGCTTCTGAGCCCGCTCCCCTCGAGCCCCTATTGGGCCACGCCTGACCGGCGTTCCTCCGATTGGCCGCTCCTCTGCGAAGCCCCACCCACCCCGCGGCGTCCGATTGGGCGGAGCAGCAACGCTGAATCACAGGCACCTCCGTCTAGGTTAGCGGCCTGGCCCGCCTCCGAGCGAGTCTGAGTATTTTGATTCATCTATATATTGGTCAATCTAGAATCTCTACGATTATTGGAGAACAAACAAGTCGATCACTCAAATAGGGCAAGGGGGAAGAGGCGAGGTTAGAAAGATCCCCGCCCATGAAAAGTGCCGATTGGAGAAACATTTGTTTTCTCTGAGGCTGGTTGGTGGTAGGAGATTTTCCCCACCCAGAAACGTTGTCACGTGACTTGTCAACTTTCACCCAGGATGTCCACTTTCTGACTTCCCCTTAGCAACGGAGTGGCGTCTTCTGGTTCCCCTAGCAACTGGCGAAGCGAATTGCTGCGCTACCTGGCCGGCGGCTGCGCTTGAGAAGGTGAGCCTCAGGAGCGGAAGCTCTGGGAGATCCGGGCCGGACAGCGCCCGACTTGACCCTTGCCTCTGACCCTTTTTCCCCGAGGAGTCCTGCGGGGCCTTTTCATCTGTAGAATGAGCACACAGGTCCTCTGCCAGGCACTTTGCAGCCGCGCTGAGACATGCAAAACACTAGTCCTGGGCTTTCAGGCCTGCGGGTGAGAAGGAAACGCTCAGAAAGTATTTCCTCGGGTGGCAGCGCCCCAAGAGATTTTAAGGGGTTCGATCCCCTAGGCTTCTGGCCTGATCCCCTTCGTAGAAAGAAAGGCACCTGAAAGAAAGGTCCACTGATAACTTCTTCAAGAATTTAATTCTTATATCCGACTTTATAACTGTCATTAAATTATTTCTCTTACTTTTATTCTTCATCTTGGTGCTATTTAAAGTGCTTTGGCTGGGAATATGAATACCCGAGTTCCATGTCTGTTTCTTGTCAGTAGCTACTCCTATGGCTGGACAATTTCCTTCCCCTGCTGAGTCTTAGTTTCCCTATCTCCTCTAATGGCCTCCAGAGCTGACATGTAATTAAATAACACATGAGTGGTACACAGTAAGCACTCAGTCAACTGTTGATTAGTAATTCATGGCCAACAGGGGCTATATTTTTTTCAGATCCAATTGATCCCAGATTGTTGTTTCCCAGGACAATTCTGGATCTGTTTCTCCATGAGGAGGCTACTCCATTGAGGTGCATTCCCCACCTCCTACCGGTGGGTGGTCTTCACCAACAAAACTATCAACAGGAACCCAGGCTGAGTGGTAAATTATGATAAAATTCCCTTAGGGGAGGAGTGTTTGGGCCTTGACCCGGACCCAGAACAGCTGTGAGAAACATCGTGAGTGGTGACAATGATGGTCTGCAGTGCCCTGGGTACAGCTGAGTCATGATTAATAACATGGCTCTGGAGTCATATTCTCCAGCTCTGCTATATACTAGATGTATAAACTTGGGCATGTTACTTAACCTAATTTTTAACAGCTTCCATTTTCTTATCTGAAAACTGCGAACAACTAGTCCTACATATAAAATAAGTTCCTCTCAAATTCACATCTCACCACCACCTTGGTCATCTCTCACCTCAGGACTCTTGCCATTCTCAGTAGTACAGCCAGAGTGAGCTTCTTAAAATTAAAATCTTATCATATCACTGCCCCTATTAAGCCCCAGGAGCTTCCCAGGGATCCTAGGATAATAATAGAGCTCCTGTAGGCCTCTCCACCCTTGCATCACGTCAGCCAAAGTGGAACATGTCTTGTTCTCTCCCACATCAGGGCCCTCTCCGTGCAGTTCCTTCCCTCTTCCTTCTTTCCTGCTCGTCCTTCAGATCTCAGCCCTGTCTCCCCTGGCCAGCCAGGTGCCCCTGGTGCATGCTGTCATAGTTCCCTACACCTACAAATTTGTCATAGTTTCTAATTAAATATTTGTATGACTGATTCATTCTGAAACAGAGGTAAGGAGATCTGTCTGTTGTAGTCATAACATGTAGCTATTCATTACATGTGTGTAGATTAAATAAATGATCTTAAACAAATGTGGGAGGGAGGGATTATTCATCTTTTAAAGATGGGAAATTCAAGTCTTAGACAGGTGAGGATGCAAAGTCAGGGTCCAAATCCTGTCCCTGTGTGCGTGGTAGCTTTTCCACATTGCCACTGTTGGGCTTGACTGAAAGCAAGCTTGATCTGCCACAGGTGCCAGGCCTTGATGTGGGAGCGATGATAAGTCAGAATTGAAATCAGAATTAAGAATCATTTCCCCGACTACAGCACCTTTCTTTGAAAAAGCACAAATACTTTGCAGGTAATATCTGCCAAATACAGCACATTAAAATTTCCCCAAAGTCAACTTGCTGTCAAGTTATGAGAAATTTTAGAAAAATTTGTTTCCAAAGAGTGGGGAGATAGAGAGAGGTAGAGGACTGAAAGCATCTTTTGAGGGAAGGAATGAATCAATCATCCAAAGAAGATGTAGCCAAGGTTGACAAGGAGGAATGGGAAGATGGAAGGTGCAGGTAGATTGGGCAGGGGGAAGGGCCAAAGGGAAAAGGGTTGGGGTTAGGGAAGGCTGTGCCACCTCTGGCTGTAGTGGGAAGGGACGGGAGAGTTAAAAGCACGGGACATTTGATCATGCACAGTCCAGAAATGCAAGATGCATATTTACATAAGCTACCTTCCTTCAAATGGATGGTGGGGGAGGAGGGAGGAAGGGCAGCTGGGCAGTGGCAGCCTCTAAGAATTGCCAGGCCCATCTGGGTTTGTGGTGGACACCATCAGCCCACCTGTCAGGAGTCTCTCCAAGCAGCATTCAGTGGATAAAGGGCAGAGTCCAGGGGCTGCCCAATGTCAAGGACTAGCAGAGCAAGAGGACAGGAGGTCCAGGGGGTCCAGATGTTGAGGACACATGCAGACAAAAGTAGAAGATTAAGTCAGAGGTGAGAAGTAGGGATGGAAAGTAGAAGGAAGAACTGAGTTTCCAGAGGGTTCAGGAGGCAGAATCTGGGAGTTTCCGGTAGACTGACAGTTTTCCTTCCTGCAGGTCCAGTCCTTCTCAATGTTCTCACTAAGAGCGTTAGTGATGAGAGTGAGGTTGGGTGCCTTGGCTTCCCAGGTTTGTGGCTGTGCCCAGCCAGGAATAGCAGCCCGGTCAGCTTCACCGTGTGACTGACCAAATCCTCAGCTCCCTGCTTTGCCTGCTGTATCTCAGCCAAATTCCTTTGGGACATTAACAACAGAAACCTACTGGAGTTGGTTTAAGTAAAAGAAGGAGTTTAAGTAGACGTCAGGAAACTCTCCCAGAAAGGGGCTACAGACACCATCATAGGGCCCGAAATTAGGGGCATTGGGGGCTGGAAAGCCAGCGAGAAGAAGGCAACTTCTGTCTGTGTCAGTCTGTCCTTTTGTTTATTTTTTCCCCTGGATCGCCCAGATTCCCATCTCTGCTTCTCTGTTCATCTGCCCCCAGTTCCTCCCCAGCTCAAGCAACCACCTCTGATGGGCACTCTTTTTTTCCCCTCACCCAAGGGTGAGGATATTTTTTCCATTGATTTTAGAGAGAGTGGAAGGGAAGGGAGAGGGGGGGACATCGCTGTGACAGAGACACACCAATTGGTTGCTTCTCACATGCTCCTGGACCAGGGGGCAGGGAGCAGACCTGCAACCCAGGTATGTGCCCTTGACCTGAAATTGAACCCTCGACTCTCTGTGTGCAGTCCCACGCTCCAACCACTGAACCACGCTGGCCAGGGTTCTGATGGGCACTCTTATCCTGAGGCCTCATGCTCACATTTCTCAGGGGCAGAACATGAATGAGCAGCTGGGGCAGGTATCCACCTACACACTGGGCAACTTGCTGGGGGGACGGTGTGGGGAGGGATATAGACATGACTGTCAGGAGGGATGAGGCCCTCCGAGAAGGCCGCCGTGGGCTGCTGTGCCTGGCTGGGGCTGCTGAGGATCATGTTGAGTGGTTGGCACCAAGAAACCTGAACAAGAGTGGGCACAGAAAGCCAAAGACCCAAGATGGCCGTGGCTATAGGTCCAGAAGACCAATGTGGACACCAGTCCACTTGTCTGGGGTAGGGTCACAGCTGTGGTTGTGGGGCCAAGAGGAATACCCCTGAGGAAGGGCACCAGGCAGGATGGGCACACATGGTTGCCAGTGGAAGCCCTGGAGCAGCCTTGGTGCAAAGGTACTAACCCCTAGGTGTAGTGGGCCAAGCAGTGGGAGGAGGGCAGCGTTTGGCATGTCCTTACCCACCACAGTGCTCCCCAACACCTTAAAAGGATGCTCCTCAGCCTCTGTCTTCAGACAAAGGGAGAAGTGGGTTGTGGAACAGGAACGTGATGTGTGTTTTTTTAGGGAAGATGAACCGGCTGTGCAACTCACTGGAGCCTAGAGTGATGGACGATGACATGCTTAAGCTGGCTGTCGGGGAGCAGGGCCCACAGGAGGAGGCCGGGCAGCTGGCCAAGCAGGAGGGCATCCTCTTTAAGGACGTCCTCTCCCTCCAGCTGGACTTCCAGAGTGCGTATCCCGGGGTGGGCAGGCTACCAGGCAGGGCCCCCTGGCTTTCTCCAGTCCACATCCCATGCCAAGTCTGTATAAAAAGATAAAATTCTCCCACTCCAAATCTAAGTGAACCATAAAGGCTTTAGTGTCCTTGGAGTGGGGCCCCTGGCAGGAGGAACCTAGGAAGGTGGCCCCAAGCAGCCAGGCAGGAGCCGGGGGGGAGAGGGAGAGCAGCTTGGGGGGAGGAGCAGGAAACAGGAGTGGCCCAGGACCACGAGGCAGGGGGCACGTCAAGAGTGGCAGGTAGCCTAGTGGGAAGATGTGGCTGGGGACCAGGTAGAACCTCAGTGCCTCAGCATCCCCATCTGTGAAATGGGATGATTGCAGTCCATGGTCAGATGTTGGTTAGGAAGACAAGGTAAGGCAACATGTGTGCAGTTTGGGGTTCACTGAAAAAGGCCAGTGAGGGCTGCAAGAGGAAGCAGGAGCGGTGGGCAGGGGTCCTGCAACCCCTCAGGTATTGTGCAGGTGGCCACAGGAATTCTTTCCTTTTCTTTGTTTTTTGGCTGGTGGGGGGTTTTGTTTTGGTAGGCGGTTTCTTCTCTTTTTTTAAAAATTAAATTTGTTGGAGTAACATTGGTTTAAATTTCAGGTGTACAACTTTGTAATACAACATTTGTATACTCTAGTGTGTGCTCCCCACCTGAAGTCTCGTCTCCTTCCGTCATCACATATTTAATCCCCTTTACCCTCTTCTTCCTCCCTGAGGCCCTGCCTCAGGACCCTGGGACCCAGCAGTGGGCAAGGCCCTGGCCCCAGCCTCAGAGCCCACAGGTCTCACCAGAGCAAGGCCACCAGGGCTGATCACACCTCTGCAGAAGCCAGCTGACCATCCAAAGCAGTGAGGGCCCCTAGCCACAGTGGGGAAAGGGGGGAGAGGGGCTGCAGAGTGGCTGTCGGGAGAGGGAGCTTTTCATTGACCACCTTCCTTTGTTTTTTTTAAATGAAAGGCTGAAAGTAATTCTGTGGCTTACCACCTTCCTTTTGCTTCCCCTCCCCAAGCTAGTTTCATTCAGCCAGTATTTTTTATCAGGTGCCTGTCATATGCCAGGTGCTTTTCTAGGAATTAGGGGTTCAACTGTGAACAAAACAACAACAACAAAGAAGCCTATCCTCATGGAGCTTGACATTCAAGGGAGGGACACCCATAAAATGAAAGGAAGGAGAAGAATAGTGTATGCTACAGGTAATATGTGCTGTGGAGAAAAGGAAAGAAAGGAGAGGAGAAAGGGAACCGGGGTGGGGCGCAGTGTTTTATCTGGTGGTTAGAGGCCTCACCAAGAAGGTGACAGATGAGCAAAGACTAGAAGGAGGTAAGGGGAGGGACCCCGTGGAGATCCAGGGAAAGTGTCGAGGGCAGAGGGACTGGCCAGAGCAACAGCCCTGAGGTAGCAGACGTGTGGAGACAGGTCAGAGAGGTTGTGGGGCCAGCTAACATCAGCCTCAGGGGCTAGGGGAGGGTGTTTGGTTTATATAGTGGGTGATGGGGCAACCTTGGGAGGGCCCTGGGCAGAGGACAGGCAGGATGGGATGTGGGTTTTACAGGGTCCCACTGGCTGCAGGAGGCTGGACTGGGGGGCCCAGGACCAGAGCAGGGGGCCTAGTGAGGGGGCCTCTGCCGTGGTGCAGCGAGCAATGACAGCAGGCTGAGACCAAGATGGTGCAGTAGAGGAGGGCTCTGGGTCTATGTCGAAGATTAAACCGGCTTTGTGGGCAGTCCTATCATGCTGGTAACTAATTTAGAGCTAACTGCCAAATACATCCTGACTTTGTTGTGTTGTTTTGGCTTTTCCACACAAACTGCCGATGTAGAGGGAAAGCCAGCAAGCCCGTGTGCCAGGCAGAGCACCCAGGAGTGTGGGAGCCAACCAGGAGTGGTGTCTGCAGGAAGTCAGCTGCACCCAAGGCTGTCAGCCTAAGGCCAGGGTCAGATAAGGTGCTTGGAAAACCCAGACCAGGATGGGAGGTAGCTGAGATCTGGAGGTGGAACTAGGTCCTACCCCAGAAGCACAAGTAGGGATGGTAGCTGGAATCACCATGGGAAATCTGGTTGCAGAGAGCCAGGGAGCAGACCTAAGAGAAATGCTGTCTGCCCACCCCTGGGAGGCCTGGCTTGAAGAGGGCAGCTGGGAGGGGTGCTGTGCCTTTCCCAGGCCTTCACATGAATCTTGTCCCTCTAAATGAACACTGAAGCTGCTACCCAATGTGTGCTTATTAAGGGCACCTGCTTTTCCCCTTTCACTTCTGTATCATCTCAGTTCTTTAGTGAGCATATGTTAAGTTTCTAAAACTTATAAAAGCAAATATAGAAAAAGGGGGCATGTGAACAACAGAGCTATTTGTAGCTTCTAGAAAAAACTGGGGACAAGTTTAGGCCTCTAGAATTTTGCATACACAGAATATACTTATTTATACGTAAGTATTTTCAGAACTCTGGCTGCCAGTGGCAGAAACCACAGTGCCTGGTGTAAGGAGCAAAGGGAATGAGTTGGCTGTGTGGCTTTGAAGGTGGTCCTCAGAGACACAGGGTCCAGTGCTTCAGGGACATGAGCAACCTGCCTCTCATATGGGCAGTTTATCCCACTCCCTGCATATGGACACGGGGGGTGGGGGGGAGGCTATCCTTCTGCCCCCATGTACCTAGAGGTATTTCTTTTGGCACATACACAGTGTGTCTTTGCAGACAGATTTCAGTTAGAGAAATTGCACAGTCAAAGGGCACAGATGTTAAATATTTCAGTAAATGTGGCCAGATTGCCCTCCAAAATGTCGGGACTAGTTGACTGACCCACTAACAGTGCACAAGGCGACACTCACCCTGCAGCCTTGATTCTATTTGTCATACTGCACAGGGAAAGAAGGAGGACCCCTACCTGTGTCTTGTGCCCCAAGTTGTTCTGGCTTCTTGGGCAGCTTCCCAGCCTGGCCCTAGATGTTACATGAGTGAGTCCCATGCCAGAGCAGGTCCAGCCTCCTTCCCACTGATGCCCCCATGCCCCCCGTGAACCTATTAGGTCCTGCTGTGGCCCTGGGCACGGATCAGTACCACTGCACACTGCTAGGGTCTCAGAGCTCCTTAGTGCTCAGCCCACATCTCCAGGGCACCCTCATACTCCAGGGCCGGGCAGCAGAACTGTGGAGCCTTGTGCATGTTTAGCATTGGTTGTCTCATTCCTCCAGTACACTGGTTCTAAACCCTAACCTTAAGCCCAGGCTGGAACCAGAAGAGGCATCTCCTCTGGTCATTTCAGACATCCTCCGCATCGACAACCTCTGGCAGTTTGAGAGCCTGAGGAAGCTGCAGCTGGACAATAACATCATTGAGAGGATTGAGGGCCTGGAGAGCCTCACACAGCTGGTCTGGCTAGGTAAGGCCCCTTTCTGTGTGTGACTGCCCTGATTAAAGGTGACGCCCTGCCAAGATCATACTTGCTAAGGTAATTGTTTCCCCAGGCAATATTCTGCAAGCCCACTTACAGCAGAAGCTCTGTCTGCAGGGAGCAAGAAAACTGCTCCTTATAAAAGCCCGGGTCCTGTGCTGGGTAAACACAGGGAAAATGTGCTTAGGCACGCCAGGACAGAGTATTCTGCTCCCACCTGCCAAATCTCCCAATTTGGAAGTAGGGGTGGTCAAGGAGCAGCCTTGGATTCCTTCTAGTCATCCTAGGCTCAGGTTGACAGAAAATTATGGGTCCCACCACTCATGGGGACTCAGATCAGACCCAAAATAATCATATAGCTGGTACTTGCACTGAGCACTTACTACCTGTTAAGCATGGGCCCGTATGTTTTCCACGTGAGGTATTTTAATCCACACAGCATCCCCATTGTAGAGGTGAGAAAGCTGAGGTCACAGCAAGTAGTGGGGGCATCAGGATCCCAACCCAGCTCTGACTCTAGAGCTCTGGCTCTCACTGCTAAGACTGCAGGGATCTTGATGAACGGTGTCCATCTGCTGGACTTAGGAGGCAGCCTCATATCTGGGGAGGGGCAGGTGGGCACCTAACGGGGAGAGGGGGTTGGCTGGAGAGCCCTTTACAACTTTGTCTTGTTTAGCCCTCACAGCAAAAAGATCTGTTACAATCCCATTCTACAGAAGAGAAACTGGGGCTCTGAGAGGCCAAGGCACTTGCCCAAAGCTCCACAACCAAGAAGCAGCAGAGCTGGAATACAAACCCACGCCTGTCTGACCCCAAAGTCCTCATTTCCTTCATCCTGCCAGGCTGTTTTCTCAAACAGGCAGCCTGGAGCATCCGTGAACCTCCGAATTTGCAAAACAGTCTCAGCTCCCATTGTGCTGACAGTTGCCAGCCCCCAGCAGCCCGCAGGCGGGATTGCACTGCAGCTTCTCAGAGGCAGAGCTAAGGCTGAGAGGCAGTGGGCTTGAGGGAGTCATGCTGCAGGTGGCAGAGGCACGACAGCCAGGGCCCCCGTCCACCAGGCCCAGGCCCCTCACCCCAGGCACCCGCTCCCAGCACTAGTTCTCCATGCTGAGGGGCCCAGGCGCCCCGCCAGAAGTCACCCATCTCCCTAGGACACGGTTAGGGAATGTCTGGCTGGAGAAATCATTTGGCCTGGCCCTGCCAAGGCAACTACAGGCGGGACTCGAAATTCAATAAATCTAGGAGCTTTTTTCATAGCTAATTTTTAAGTTCATAATTTTGTATGGCCCGCAAATGATGTTATAAATATCCAAACGGCCCTTGGCAGAAAAACGGTTCCCCACCCCTGAGCTAGGAGATGAAGGAGGAGAAGAGGGTGCTGGATCAGCCAGACTCTGAGCCATACCCCCCACTGGAGGGCCTACCAGGCACCGGCCGTCTGAATGCTGTGCTTTTAGGCCAGAGCTGCCAGGCCCAGCTGTCTCTCAGATATAAAACAAGTGCCACAAGCCCCTATGAGATGCTCCTGTGGAGCCCAGCATGCATGGTGCAGGAGTGAGAAAGCAGAAGAGGAAATTGCTGGCAAAAGGTCAGCCTGCATCCCTGAGAGAGTCGGAAAGCAGCCTTTGTCCAGCCACAGCACTAGTAGTCCAGGAACCCAACCACAGCCAGAAAGAGCTGGTCCCTGGGATGCAGGGGCTTGTGCCCTGATGGCTCAACACAGCCCCCACCTATATACAGCCCACAGCTGCNCAGCCCCCACCTATATACAGCCCACGGCTGCCCACCAGCCAGCTCCTGGGCCGAGCACGCTGGCTCCCGCGAGCATGAGCGCATCTCACCCATTTCTGCTTTCAGGATTGTCTTGTTGGAAGCTTGAAATTGGCCATGGTGGGAATATTATTCCACAGATATCAGCAAGTGCAACAAATCAGCGCGGCCCTCACTGCACCGGGTATCATTAAACATTTACCTGCAGCACTGGTTCTCGTGGGTGTGGCTGGGCCTCCAAAAAGCAGAGGTGGAGGAGGGAGCGGGTGGGCTTGGCATTTAGCAGACTTGGTTTGCATCCCAGCTCTGCCAGCGTAGTAATCGATTCTGCACAAGTTACTTCAGCCCTCTGAACCTCGGTCTCTTTATGTGCTATGTGATCTTATTGCCACCAGGCCCCTTTGAATCTTGGTTTCCTTGTCCATAAAATATAGGTGGTGATACCTGTGCTGTGAGGGTTAAATGAGTTAATGTGCTTAAGGTCCTAGCATAGAGAAAGAGACAATGAATTCTCATTCGCCTCAGTGTCAGCAGGTAAGCATGCCCTCACATGCCAATGAGGCTAAATTAAGATGTGGATAAACTTACTTTCCAAATCACCTTTTTAACGTGATGGCTTGCAGCTACCATGATTGTATTTCCAAGCTCATGAAAAATTCCCAGTTTGGGCCTCTGGACCATTGGTATTCTAGGAAAGGTTGCAGCTCCAACCCCAGCCAAAAACCTGTGGTGGAGAAAAATCAGTTTTAGTCCCAAAGATGTGAAACTTGAGCTAGAGAAGATCATGACATCTCAGCTGGGCTTGGGCTTGGGCTTGGGCTTGGGCTTGGGCTTGGGCTTGGGGGAAGCTTGAGTTGGCTGTGCTGTACCTGGAAGAACCTGGCCTGCAGTTTGTCCAGGGAGGAGCCTTGGATGCACTCTGGCACCACCCTAGTTAGCTGTGTGGCTTTGGGTGAGTCACTGAGCCTTTCTGAGCTTCAGCTTCCCAGTTGAGCAAATAGGGAGAGAAGTTCCAAACTGCCACTCAGAACTGTTGTCTGGGGTGTACACACAGCACTTATAAACTGGTGAATGCTGAGCAGACGGGAGGTATTACTACTAAAACTCCCATAGGAGTGGGTGAAAGGGACACTCTACAACTGTCTCCCCCACCCCAACATGCACTGTTTCAGACCTGCCAGTAAGCATTTCCAGCTCAGAACAATGACAGAGCACAGCCCCGAGCATTTGCCCATGTGTCCGGAGCCAGGAAGATGAGAGGCAGAACTGCAGGGGGCGATGAAAGTTTGACTCCATGCACAGCTTCTAGAGAACCGTGAGCTGTCAGACAGCTTGGCGCTGGCTCAGAGAGCATAAGTAGCTCGGACAGGTTTGTTTCAGGATGGTCCCCCCCAACCCATCATTCAATCCTCATGGCCTCTTCCTTCCAGACCTGTCCTTCAACAACATCGAGGCCATCGAGGGGCTGGACACGCTGGTAAACCTTGAGGACCTGAGCTTGTTTAACAACCGGATCTCCAAGATTGACTCTCTGGATGCCCTGGTCAAACTGCAGGTGCTGTCCCTGGGCAACAACCACATTGGCAACATGATGAACGTGAGTGAGCTCAGGCCCCAGGCAGAGGGGGATGGGGCCTGTGGCGAGGGGACATGCAGGCTCAGCCTTTTAGATAGCCCCCTTTTCCTAGAAAGGCCAGAAATGCAGATTATTTCGCAAGAGGTTTGATAATGTTTAAACAACATGCTCCACCCATGAAAGCCCTGCCTTGGTGGGGCCTCTTTCTTTCCCTGAGCCCTACACCACACTCGCTTAACAAACCATGGCTGAGGCAAGAACCTGCTCAGTGGGGGCCTTTGGCCTGTGCTCAGTGGACTCAGAGACCCACAAGGTACAGTCCTTCTGGGGGTGCCCAGCGTACATCCACAGAATCAAGACACAAAATGACAAGAAGCTGGTATCCACCCTGGGGTGCCAGGGATGTGTATGTATGAGGGGCAGAGATCATTGATCATTTGGGGAAAGGCGGGCTGCCCCCCTGCCCATCCCCACAACAGGTTTTCAGCAGCAAGCTGGGACCAAGATCCCAGCAGCTGGGTATGTGGCAGCATTCATAAGGGTCCTGTGTCAGAGGTGACATTACTAAACTGCTCCAGGGACGGGGCTGTGGCTGGGAATTGCTTCTCCAGCCTACCAGTTAACCTGGAGCTGTCCAATACCCTTTCAAGATTCCTGTTCTGCTTAGGTCAGTCAGATGGCCTGGGTCTAAATCCCAGCCACATGCCCTAAGGCTCGAGACTTCTCCGCCTCAGTTTCTTCATCTGTAAAATGGACATAATAGCCATAACCCACCTGCCAGGAACCACGTGAGGTGGTGAGCACGAGGCAACTCCCTTGTGTCCAGCTGGAACACGTTCTTAACAAAGGGGGACTGTTGCCGCTGAGATCCTTCCTGAAAGTCAGGAGAGCTGAGGTGACTTTTGAATCAGGCTCATTAAAAGATTATTAGAGCCCGGCAGTTGTTGCTCAGTGGTCGAGTGCCGACCTATGAACCAGAAGGTCACGGTTCGATTCCCTGTCAGGGCACATGCCTGGGTTGCGGACTCAATCTCCAGTAGGGGGCGTGCAGAAGGCAGCCGATCAATGACTCTCACATCATTGATGTTTCACTCGCTCTCTCCCTCTTCCTTTCTCTGAAATCAATAAAAACATTTTTTTAAAAAGATTATTAGAATTTCTCCATTGAGCAGAAGGAAAAGGTTTCCAGGAAGGGGAATGGCATGAGCAAAGACCAGGAGGGGCGCCTTGAGGAGCCACAGGTCACTGGCGCGGTCAGGAGGGTGTGCAGGGCAATGGAAGGGAGCTGTAGAGGCTTTTGTGCCACTGTGTGTCCAGGTAAGTCTATGTTCTGGAAGGAAGCCTACCATCATGAGGGGGCCTTAGGGGATGGTGCGAGTGGGTGAAACAAGGATGGCACCATCAGAGAGGCACTTTGCCTGCAGAGCAGGAGGGCTCAAGCTTTGCTGAGGCAAGCACTTGGGTGCTGTGGTGTGCTGGGCAGCTGAGCTCAGGAAGCTGCAGTGAGCCAGGGGGCAGGAAGACCAATGTGCAGGTGTGTTCCTGAGATTGTGGCTGTAGGTGACAGGGCTCCATCCTGCTGGGCCCTCAGGAGTGTCCAGAATGCCTTCCAGAGCAAACACCCAAAGGACCAGAGCCTAAGGCCTCTCCCCCAGTCCTGACCCCCAGCAGCTGAGCGACGCCTGGGATTAACTCCCTCTTGTCCTCGCTTCTGTGTGGGCCTTGGAGAGCTGAGGTGGAGAGCAGCAATGAGACGGGCACTATGAGCAGGAGTCTACCACAGACCAGCTGAAGCACAGGTATGGCAAGTGCCCACCACAAACAATGGCGACATTTAGCACCATGGTTATTGCTGCTTTGAGGAAGGGCAGGCTTGTCACCAGGGCTTCTGCCTCTCAGCTCTGCTGTCCTCAGCGTCTCATTGGGCTGATCTCTTCACGATTGTAGTCAGCAGTCACGGCCACTGGCTCCTTCATCCACCTGTAGCAGGACCAAGAGCACAGGAAATCTCCCCCAACAGTGACCTTAAGTCTGATCAGGATCCACAACCACCCTGAACCAATATCAGAGCTGGAGGAAGACCGGGCTGGGGAGCTTAGGTGAATGGCCTGGAGTGAGTAAAAAACCTGTGTTTAAGTCTGTCTAGTAGGGCCGAACCCCAAAGGCTGTGTAGTTTAGGAAGTTTGCCCTGCACACCAGACAGGAGGGTGCAAATCCAACCAGTGCTCTTCTCAGGGTTCAAGTCCTGATTACTCAGCCTGCCCTCTGCCTTGTGGGGGCAGGGCAACCCAATGCTGGCCAACAGGACAGCCACACACAGAGTCCACCGTGCAACTGAGTAGAGAGCTCCCGACTGTGTGAGCTCGGGCCAGGGACTTGGCATTCAGGCTCCCATTTTTCCATCTGTAAAATGAGAATAACAATAGTCCCCCTAGGTTGTTGTAAGGGTTGAATCAGTCAGAGTGCTAAGTGGCTAATGCAGGACCTGGCACGTAGGAGGTACATGGAAAGTGATGGTTATTCAGGAATTTTCAGATTAACGGCTATCCATAAACAGCCCTAAATCTTGCTGTTTGAGTACCTTTCTGAACATTTAGCAGCTGTTCCTGCCTAGGTAGGTCCAATACCCCCAGGCCTACAGGTAAATGATCTCTGACTTGTTACCCCTTGAACTTTAGAGACTTCAATGAACCCAGGACCCTGTCCCTTTACAAAGGTCCAGGCCTGGGCACCCCTCTCCTTCCCCTCACCTTGAGCGTTCTCCCAATCCCACCCTGTAGGGACTGGGCAGGAAGAAACCCCATTCCCCTATCCCAGTGGGGTGCTGGGTGCCACATGGCCCGTCGTGAGTACAGGAGAGACGCAGGTAAAGCTAGTCCCCAGAAAGAAGGAGGGAAGAAGAAGGCACCCGGGGGAAGCTGCAGGGAGCCCTGAGCTATCTGGGCCTGGGCCTCATTATTCTGGAGGCCTGGCCACACCCCAGAGACTCTGGGGTCCCCGCATCCTCTTTACCTAATACGGAGCCAGCCCCTTTGGAGATTTGACCCAGAGAGTCCTGAATTCTAACCTGCATCCCCTGAGCATCTACGATTTTAGCCCCTATCTATATACTATGCATCTGACATCTAATTATACACTTTCTTGTTATTTATTTATTTACCAGGCTAATTTTTTTTTTTTTAAATATATCTTTATTGATTTCGGAGAAAGGAAAGGAGGGGGGGAGAGAGAGATAGAAACATCAATGATGAGAGAGTCATTGATCGGCTGCCCAGCCTGCAACCCGGGCATGTGCCCTGACCGGGAATCGAACCCCTATCTCCTGGATCCTAGGTCAATGCTCAACCACTGAGCCACGCCCGGCCGGGCTCTAGGCTAATTNCAGGTAAAGCTAGTCCCCAGAAAGAAGGAGGGAAGAAGAAGGCACCCGGGGGAAGCTGCAGGGAGCCCTGAGCTATCTGGGCCTGGGCCTCATTATTCTGGAGGCCTGGCCACACCCCAGAGACTCTGGGGTCCCCGCATCCTCTTTACCTAATACGGAGCCAGCCCCTTTGGAGATTTGACCCAGAGAGTCCTGAATTCTAACCTGCATCCCCTGAGCATCTACGATTTTAGCCCCTATCTATATACTATGCATCTGACATCTAATTATACACTTTCTTGTTATTTATTTATTTACCAGGCTAATTTTTTTTTTTTTTAATATATCTTTATTGATTTCGGAGAAAGGAAAGGAGGGGGGGAGAGAGAGATAGAAACATCAATGATGAGAGAGTCATTGATCGGCTGCCCAGCCTGCAACCCGGGCATGTGCCCTGACCGGGAATCGAACCCCTATCTCCTGGATCCTAGGTCAATGCTCAACCACTGAGCCACGCCCGGCCGGGCTCTAGGCTAATTTTAATACTGCTTATTGCATTAAAAACAAGCAGATGTTTCAGCAGGATTCAGGGCACACAGGGAAGATCCCCTTTCCCTCCCGGCCTCAGTCCATGCTTTCCTTTCTAGAGGCCACAGCTGCTTCAAGTTGCAAGTGTCTTTCCAGGCGTCTTGTTTAAACGTTCTTCTACATGACTGTCACATCTCCAAGCCCCTGCCTCCAGTCATCTCTCCTGCCGAGTCATCAGCTCCCCCGCTGCTGGACCATTCCATCACTTGGACACAGCATGATATACTTTGCAGTCCCCCATCCGTGGACACTGCCGTTGTGTCCAACCTTGTGCCATTGCACACAGGCTGTCATGATGTTCTTGATCAGGGCTTACTTTGCACCTGGATGAGTCCAGTGCGAGACGAATTCCCGGAAGCGAAATTGCTGGGTCTGGGGCATGCTCATTTTTTATGTTGATGTATCTTTCCAAAATGTTATCTAGAGAAATGAAACTATTTACAAACCCAGCAGCAATCATGAGAAGGCCTGTTTCCTCCCACAATACCCCTTGTTATCAAACCATTTTCTCTCTAACCATCTAAAAGATGAAAAACGGAATTTCACTGGGAGATCTCTTAAAAATTAAGTCACATCCTGTCTCCCCACCCCACAGACACTTAAAACTTCAAAGTCTTCCATTGTTCTTAGAACAAAATCCGAATTCTTGACTGCAATTTTGACCCAAGCCTTACATGAATCAGCCCTGACCTTGTTTCCAGTCTCGCCTCAGGTCCTGCCCCAGGGCCTCCCCTGCGGAGCTGCAGCAGCCTTGGCCCTGCCTCCTCCTGGTCCAGGCCAGGTCCCCCCCCTCCCCCTCACCCGGTCCTGCCGCGTTGCTCTTGCTGCCAGCAAGCTGCTCTGCTCTGCTCTTGTGTGACCAGCTTCCGTAGGTCTCAGAGACCTCTCAGTTCCCTAACAGAAAAAGGACTCCCTATAATTTCCTTCATGGCCCATCTTTATGTTTTTATAGTACTTAGCCAAAAATGTAATTATCTTATTTACTTTAAAAAACACTCTTGTCCCCGGCCTGTAGAATATAAGCTCCTACTGTAAGGGCGGGATCATGAGAGCTTTGTTCCCCCTGACTCCACAATGCTTGGCATGTGCCTGAGGCCTGGTCGGTGCGTTTGTTGAATGAATACATAAATGACTGAAAGAAATTCCTTCAGAAAAACATATCCTAGATTTCTTTTCTATCTTTTGCGCAGTACAGTGTCTAGGTATTCAGAAGATGCTATCAAATGAAATACAGGCACCCCTTGGAGATAGTGTGGGCTCAGTTCCAGACTACCCCAATAAAGGCAGCATCAAATAAGTGAGCCATGCGAACTTTGGTTTCCCAGTACATGTAAAAGTTATGTTCACGATAAGTAATCTTAATAGTCCATTAAGTGTGCAATAGCATTATGCCTAAAAGCAGTGTACATACCTTAATTAAAAATACTTTACTGCAACAAACTCATAGATACAGACAATAAACAGAATGGTAGTTACCAGCGGAGAAGGAGAGTGGGGGAAGAGTGAAAGGGTAAAGCGAGTCAAATATATATTTAGTGACAGGAGACTAGTCTTCTGGTGGTGAGCATACAATAGACTATACAGATATTGTATTATAAAGTTGTACACCTGAAATTTATAGATTATTAACCAAAGTTACCCCAATATACTTAATTTTAAAAGTTTCACTATAGCCCAACTGGCTTGGCTCAGCGGTTGAGCATCGACCTATGATCCAGGAAATCTGAGTTCGATTCCCGGTCAGGGCACATGCCCAGGTTTTGGGCTCGATCCCCAGGGTGGGGCGTGCAGGAGGCAGCCGATCAATGACTCTCTCATCATTGATGTTTCTATCTCTCTCTCCCTCTCCCTTCCTCTCTCTGAAATCAGTAAAGACATTTAAAAAAAAAAAAAAAGTTTCACAATAAAAGACTACTTTATTGCTAAAAAATGCTAACCATCACCTGAGCCTTCAGTGAGTCGTAATCTTTCCGCTGGTGGAGGGTGTTGCCTCAATGTTGATGGCTGTGACTGAAGGTTGGGGTGGCTGTGGCACTTTCTTAAAATAAGACAACAGTGAAGTTTGCTGCATTGACTGACTCTTCCCTTCACAAAGAATTTCTCTGTAGCATGAAATGCTGTCTGATAGCATTCTGCCCACAGCAGAACTTCTTTCAAAACTGGAGTCAGTCCTCTCAAACCCTGATACTGCTGTATCAACCAAGTTTATGTGATGTTCTAAATCCTTTGTTATCATTTGTACAATCTCCACAGCATCTTCACCAAGAGTAGATTCCATCTCAAGAAACCATCTTCTTTGCTCATCCACAAGAAGCAACTCCTTTAAATAAGTCCGTTAAAGTTTTATCATGAGATGGCAGCAATTCAGCCACGTCTTCAGGCTCCACTTCTAATTCTCGTCCTCTTGCTGTTTCCACCACATGTGCAGTTACTTCCTCCACTGAAGTCTTGAACCCCTCAGAGTCATCCATGAGGGCTGGGATCACCTCCCAAACTCCTGCTAAGTTGATAATTTTGGCGTCTTCCCATGCATCACAAATGTTCTTAATGCATCTAGAATGGTGAGTCCTTTCCAAAGGTCTCCAAAGGTTTTCACTTTGTCCAGATCTACCAGAGGAATCACCATCTATGGCAGCTATAGCTTTACAAAATGTATTTCTTAAATAATAAGGCTTGAAAGTCAAAATTACTTCCTGATCCAAGGGCTGAGTGCTGTGTTAGCAGTCATGGAAACAACACTAATCTCATGGTACATCTCCATGAGAGCTCTTGGGGGACCAGGTGCCTTGTCAGTGAGCAATAATATTTTGAAAGGAGTCTTTTTTTCTGAGCAGTAGGTCTCAACAGTGGGCTTAAAAGATTCAGTAAACCATGTTGTAAACAGATGTGCTGTCATCTAGGCTTTGTTGTTCCATTACAGGCAGAGTAGGTTTAGCATAATTCTTAAGGGCCCTAGGATTTTTGGAATGGAAAACGAGCACTGGCTTCAACTTAAAGTCACCAGCTGCATTAGCCCCTAACTAGAGAGTCAGCCTGTCCCTTGAAGCCAGGCACTGACTTCTCTCTGGTTATGAAAGTCCTAGATGGCATCTTCTTCCAATATAAGGCTTCTTTGTCTACATTGGAATATGTTGTTGAGTGCAGCCACCTTCATTAATCATCTTAGCTAGATCTTCTGGATAACCTGGCACATCTTCTACATGAGCACTTGCTGCTCAGCTTGCCCTTCTATGTTATGGAGATGGCTTCTTTCTTCAAACCTCGTGAACTGACCTCTGCTAGCTTCCAACTTTCCTTCTGCAGCTTCCTCACCTCTCAGCCTTAATAGGATTGAAGAGAGTAAAAACTTTGCTCTGGATTAGGCTTTGGCTTAAGGGAATGTTGCGGCTGGTTTGATCTTCTATTCAGACCACCAAAACTTTCTCCGTATCAGCAATAAGGCTGTTTCGCTTTCATATCATTCATGTGTTCACTGGAGCAGCACTTTTAATTTCCCTCAAGAACGTTTCCTTTGCCTTCCTCACTAAGCTAATCATTTCTAACTTTTGATTTAAAGTGAGACTTTCTGCCCGGCCAGGCGTGGCTCAGCAGTTGAGAGTCTACCTTGGATCCAGGCAATCAGGGGTTTGATTCCCGGTCAGGGCACATGCCCGGGTTGTGGGCTAGACAGCTGATCAATAACTCTCTCATCATTGATGTTTCTCTCTCTCTCTCTCCCTCTCCTTTCCTCTCTCTGAAATCAATAAAGATATATTTAAAAAAAAATAAAGTGAGACTTTCTTTCACTTGAACACTAAGAGGTGATTACAGGGTTATTAATTGGCCTAATTTCAGTATTGTTGTGTCTCAGGGAATAGGGAGGCCCTAGGAGAGGGAGAGAGATGGGGAATGGCCAGTTGGTGGAACAGTGAGAACAGACACCTCCTTCATCTATTAAGGTCACTGTATTATGTGTGTGGTTTGTGGCACCCCAGAGCAATTACAATAGTAACAGTAAAGATCACTGGTTATAGACCATCATAGCAAATATAACAACAACAACAACAATAATAGTAATAAAATTTGAAATATTGTGAGAATTACCAAAATGTGACACAGAGACACAAAGTGAGCAAATGCTGCTGGGAAAATGGTGCCAATAGACTTGCAGGGTTGCCACAAACTTTCAATTTGTGAAAAATGCAATATCTGCAAAGTACAATAAAGCATAGCGCAATGAAATGAGGTGCCTGTACTATGTGGTTGACTTTTCCCCATTTTAATAAAAATAGAGTATAGGAAAAATAAACAGCAGTGGAATGTTCCACCAGCTGTTACCCAGTTAATTCAAGTTTAACTATAAATTGGGTTCCATGTAATTTAAGAGATTTGGGTCTTTCCCACAGGGCTTTACAATCTAAGAAGGCACACCTCTTCTGAGTGACCAATAATAATGATAACAACACTATTACCCTTTGTTGAGTAGGTGTCAGACACTCTTCTACATGCATTTCATAGCTTATATTTCATTTCATCCTTACAACACATATAACACATAACATCCTCACACCCATTTTACAGATGAGGAAATTGTGGCTCACAGATATTAGGTAACTTTTCCCATAACTAGCATTTGGCCCCAGGTCTGCTGATTTTTTGGAAAGCCCAGGCCTGGCCGAAGGCCTCGGTTCTGCTGTTCAGCCTGGAGCCCTAGCGTCTCCTCGTCTGTCACCACGCAGTGCCAGAGTGTGTGGCCAGGCTGCAGACTGTGGCGGAGTGCCACAGAGAGAGACCGCCGGGGGTGTTTCAGCTCTGCGGCAGCCAAGAAAATGGATCTTCTCCTCTCTTCTCCCCAGATCGTCTACCTGCGGCAGTTCAAGGACCTGCGAGCACTCAGCCTCTCTGGGAACCCCATTGCCGAGGCAGAGGATTACAAGATGTTCGTCTGGGCCTACCTTCCTGACCTTGTGTACCTGGACTCCCGGCGTATCGATGACAACATGGCAAGTGTCTCCCTCCCGGTCTCCCAGCTCCGCGAGACCGTCTTCAGGGCCCCTGGTTTCATGGAAAGGGACACTGATGCAGAGAGAAAGGGCAGCTCCTCGTCCCCACTCCTTTTACCTGGCTGCCGAGCGATTCCAGCAGTACCCTCTTGGTCAGTGTAGTGCTTGCTCAGGTGGCCAGGTTCTTTCCAGGCGCTGCGCCCCGGCCCCGCACAGCCATTCGGGGGTTTCTCCTGAGCTTTCACTTGGGGCCTGTTTTTTTGTTTCCTCATGTTGGCTGCCTCTCTGTAGTTGCTTCTGTGTGTTAGGCAGATCTGCTGTGCCTCTCAGTCTTGGTGTGGGGGCCTTATGTAGTAGGTGTCCTGTGGGACTCAGTGCCCCAGTCTCCCTGGCCACCTGAGCTGGCTGCTCCAGGAATGTTTCTTTGGTGGGTTATGTGAGCTTTCCTTTTGTAGTTGAGTCTGATTGCTGTTGGCTTGTCCCTTGGTGGGGTTGACTCTTGGGCTGGCTGACTATGAGGGTTAACCCCGACCTCAGCGTACGGGCTGCTATGGGGGGCTGACCCCATGAAGTCGAATTCTTCCCAGCAGGGTATGGTGCCACTTATGAAGCTAATTGAGTTGTGCTTTGATGTGGTCCGAATCCTACCACCAGGGTTGTTGGTTTTGGGGCCTCTTGGAGGGACTCTGGTGCAGATCAATGTCAGGTGCTGCCTGTGATTGGTTCTGAGCTACCTGTTTGGAGCTACAAAGGAATCCACAGTTTGTGGCTCCTCTACTGGATCCTGGTGTATGTGGGAGGATCCAAGCTTTGCACCAAGGTCAGCTTCCACCAGCACCAAGCCCGGGAGCTGGTCAGCAAAAGATCCAAGGCACCTCGAGATCCACCTCTGCTTGTTGGCTGCCTGTGAGGCTCAGTCGCAGGAAGAGCCTCAGGCCATACATGAGATGTGTGAGGTAGGTTCTCGGTGAGTCACTAGGTAGGGGCGAGTGGTGTTGTCTAGATTCAAACAGATTCAAACTTGGAACCAGTGCTGGAACTAAGGGCACTCAGCAAAAGTCTCTGGGTGTACCAAGGCTAGCTGCCACCCGCCAGGTGCCCGCTGACCTTTGTGGTAGGGCGTGGCCTCGGAGTCATCAGGGTGGGGCCAGCAGAGTTCATCAGGCCCGAAGAGACCAAGATTTGGCCATGTGAAGGGAGGGCTCTGCACAGGAACAGTGGTGCTGGTGGTGCCTGCGAGGGAAAGGTCACCCCTCCCTAGAGCCACACAACTCAGTCTCTCCCTCCT